TATATTATTTATGTAGACATCGTGGAACACTCATATAAGCAGGCGAATTAAAGACCTCCTTTTTTGCAGGGTAACTGCCTGATGAGCCGAGGTTTGATGCATTCCCAGAATACATACAAATTTAATAACTGCCCAAAATGATTTATTGCAATCTTAATAGTAAACATTCAGAAAAGCGCCATCTCATCAACAAGGGTTATTCTCCGTAGAATAGACCCATAGTGCTTTCCAAGCTTCTCAACTAACGTTCATATATTAAAACTTGTAAGATATACTAGATGGCGTTATTTGGAAAGCGGGAAATCGATTACCGGTCAAGTAGAATCTTTTGGGACCGCCTTTGAATTTGCCATTTTTAACGAAATAATGGCACTTCTCTCTGAATTATTCACCTAACGCTATTGTATGTTGTAATACCTTCGTTATATCAGAAACTTCATAACACCGGAGCTTTTTAGCTACTTATCTTGGAATCTGAGCAATACATGTGATATCCAATATTTATAATATTTATGCAGGACGGCTGTTTTTAATCTAGGTTTGTTATTTTAGGAACCCCTTGTCTCGGAGGCTTGTTATGATTGTTAAATTCAATTTTATCTCAGTTTTCATAAGCTCTTCGTTTACATTCAAGGGATCATCAAGTGTTTCATTGAGTAGTTCCGTTTTGATAAAACTAATGTTTGTGCTTAATAACTTTCTGATAATATCTATCATTGCGCGTATGGTCTACATATCTATTTTTAGTCAGAGATCTGTAATATAAATAATTTTATAATAACATATAGGTAATATCGGCTTCTGGTAACTTCCTAACACCTGGATAATAAGGCTGACTCGAAAATAAGTACATTTTAACACTATTTCTAATGGAAAAATATATTTTTATTTAAGTTTTTTGTACTTACATATTTAGTAGACTCTATAAAAAAACAGCAGACTAATCAGAAAATAATGAATAATAAACATAATGATAACTTTACATAATTGGCTACTACTGGGGGTCTCAATGCAGTTTTGGCGTCGAAAGCTCCGAACAAAGTCATAGTGTAAAGACGATTGTGGATAAAACTTCAGAATAAGTGTGATGAAACTTAGGTAGTTGTGATTTGATCAATGCCAGATAAGCTTGCCTTTTATAAAAACTAAGAAAAGAGAGCGGAGAATGGATTAATAATATTATGATTTAAAATATATGAATTAATATTTAATATTTGTTTTATACACCTTCATTCATCAGTAATGCCTTGTAAGCGCTTATGAGGTTGACTTAGCTAGTGAATTTTATAAACGCATTACAAAGATTGCACTTTCCCTCATTTTGTGATTTATATGCATGGCTTGACTAATGCCGTAACGATAACGCAAATTCGAAGTTCCTCAACTGCATACCAAAGCAAAAATACTAAGGGAGTCCGAGACACTTGCCCTAATGGGAGACGTCAACCACCACTTATCAAAATTCAACTCTGATTTCACGCAACGGAACGTCAATAGGGTCGTTAATCGTGTGCAGTAATAAACGTACCACTATAGTGTCTGGTTTATTTAGCTTTTACGATGGGAAAAACATTTGGTCGCTGCGAAGTAAATTTTATTAAATTATTAGTTTTAATATAATAGCCGTGTTTATTAGCGGAATTATTGTCTATTGTTTTCCGGATTATCTGAATAAAAAAAAATAGATAACATCAGATCTATTTTTTTTTCAGCTTAGATTCCAAGATGAGTAGCGAAATCCTCCGTATTTATGACTCCATAATCGGCGAACGAATGTACCACAACACCCAGACTTGGGATAATACAGAAAAGTCAATTTTCTACATTGACCCAACCGGGAATCGAACCCAGGATCTCAGAGATGGTGACACCTTGAAACCGGCGTGCGAATCACTCAGTTACAGAGGTCGTCGAATTGGATTATGTTTTCTGTGTTGTGCGATGGCAATTTAATGTAAATGCAGTGTGTGCGGGAGACGACTTACCGCGCATGTTGAACATATCAGTAATTTTCTCTTCTGTAGATATTAATATTATAAAACATTATTAATTTATGTATAAATAAACACAAGGACCCAATAATTCCACCTCAGAGGTAGTCAGATTAGAATTGCCGTACACCAAATTATTCATTTGCCAGATATGAAGAAAGTTCATTTCGTCCTCCTTGGACTCTGATCGATCTGCCAATAGCTATATAACTACTAGTAAAGTGTTACATCTGTGACTGTGCGCTTAGGGTTCAATTTTTAAAGATTATTTACTGACTTAATATTATTATATTCTTTATTCATCAACAAAAAGTATTGCTGATTGAAGAGCCGCCAACATATCTATTGTCATTTTCTGTTAAATGATAAAAGAACTTCCTGATTCTAAGACATGAGAACGTTTCGTTAAAATTCGAACTAGATATTATTTATTGGGAATTTTAATCTGACAGAAAGTAAGTCAAACAGTTTATAATTACTTAGTGTTTCTTAAAACAAAGTGTAAAATAAAACGCAGTATGTTTCCATCTCGGTACCATTTAGTGGGGGAGAAGCGTACGGATCTACCCACGGCGAGGTATCGGAGCGATGTATCAGTTGCTTTATTTACTGTAGCGTTACCATGAGTTTACAATGACCGTACTCGCTAGCGACTGCGTAAATGATTTGCATGGAAAACTGTACAGCGCTCCTAGCGGTCACTTGAGAAACTAAGATTGCTAGTATGAGTCCTATAGTAAATTACCTATCGAAAGCCAATCGCTAGCGACTTACGTTTTTTACGTTTTGTAGCTTATCCATAGAATATCTGTACCATGAGTTACAAATTTGACAAACGTCATCGAGAAATACCGTAGCGACTGTAGTTAACTCTCTCACTTGCAAAACGTAGCGTGAAAACTTATTACTCTTGTTAGAGTATTGTTTCATAGATTATTTTCAGTTATTATTGACCCAAATAATGTCAACTAGGCATTATCTTGCGTGGAATATGTTGTCATAAGCTGCATTGAAGACAAACGACGAGAATAGAGAAAATTTGAAGCGGATATGAGAAATATCGGCAAAAATATCTAGCTCGGTGGCGTAGAGGATAAGCGCCGCGGCCCGCGATCGTTGTTGTTAAGCAACTTTCGTAAGGGTCGGTCACGGGATGGGTGACCAAAAAATTATTATCTTGAGCTACTTCGTGCTTCGGAAGGCACTGACGTAAGAGGGCTGGTGGTGTTGTATGAGAAATATTAGTGAGAAAAATTTTATCAAATAATATAGGCTTAATAAGGAGTGTTTTGGTTAACTAAGGTCACCATTTCTGTTAAAACATTAAAAAGGGATACGTGATACGGATAACAACAAAAATAAATAAATGAATGTAACGGGGTTAGATCTGATAGCATTGGATTAGGTTGTATATTCTTACTATATTTCAAAAATTTCATAAACTACGTCTATTTTAAAAGTTTTATGTTTGATAATTACAAAAAATAATATATTATTAAAGTCCCGCTAAAATTTACCTTAACCGAACAAAGAGCACTCAGCATTCCTTAACTTTATCTGAACACTTAAACAAATATTTCATCTAAAAAAAACTGGAGGGCTACATTTACTGTACAAAGTATGTATTGAAGTACATTCCTTGCCGTATATTCAACCAATAACTGTATTTATCATACACTAGTCCGCATTTAATGTTTAGGTATTATGCACAATTTACCAAAACAACCGCCAGTCAAGAAACAGAAACACTTAATGATCTGTCTCAACACGGAAATAACTGAATAAATTCAATAATCAGTTACACTTCGCGTTATGAGAATGATCAATGACGCTTAAAATTAGTAGGGTTTTATCTACTTTTTAAATTTGAAGATCTAAATAGCCAGTTTTTTTGCCCAAAGTCATCCTTTCTCACTCTATTCAGCATAAATAGAACGAGACAGTTTCATTTGGAGTGAAGTTAGGCGCAATATACGGTCACGTAACAAAAACTATTCGAATGTTCGAGTTAACGTTAGCGAGTATAGTAAATGTAAATGTGACTCATGGTACAACTTCTATCGAATACTATTCGAAGTGCGTTTATTCGCTATCGACTGCGGTAACGTAATGAGAATTTTCGATAGCAACTCATGGTAGCGCTACTGTACTACTGTTTCTTTCTGGAAGTGTGATGACCGTTAAACCTTGTTTACTATCGTATGATGTAATATCTATGACGTCGCTGCCGCTTCGTTTACGATAAAATTTGCATAACGACTGACCGGATTTATTCTGTGATATAGAGATAGATTTTTGTGGTCCCTAAGACATGGATTTCTAATATTCGTGATCATATAATCAATAAGAATCATCGAATTCTATTACATTTATTCTTAAGTTTAAATCTGTCTAATATTTTAATAAAAATAAAGTTTATGTGATAATTTTATCTAATTGTTGAAGGATCTATTTAACATTTGTTTATTTATTTAAACTTTATTGCCTATAATGCAGGAAATGGTGGACTCAATATCAAAAAGTCATTCTCTACCAGAGACATCGATGAAGATGTGCAGTAAATAAAAAAATTCTTCAACGTGCTGTCAGTCAGACTAATTAACATCGTCATCTTTTTTGTCACCTGTGAATATACTACCCGTGACCCGTGTGTGGGTTCTTGCGTGTACACACAGCAGTTTAATATGTCATAATATTTAAGCATTTTTTTTATGTATTAATTCTATAGTTTTGTATAATTATTTAATTTCTGCTGTCGACAGTACCAATAGATTTACATTACTACCTACCATCAGACGGTATAAAATTCCTTTCTATTTTTTATAGCTTTTGAATACATTATCCATCTCACGCTCTGTTTTCATGTTTTGACAATATCAATAATAATATATTAATATTCAATGTGATGAGATAATATTCAAATATTCACAATGTCATTCACCGCAACTTACACCTACGTAGGCAGGTGCCTAAGTAGCTGTAAATAAATTCCTCTAAGATTTTATGTTAGTTGTGTAAAATAAACATATTATTCGATCATTTTATTATTAATTTATATTAAAATTTTATGTACAAAAAGTATAAAAGTAATGTGTTACACAATATCACAATCACTGGAGCACAACCAATAAATTAAATATTAGTCAACAGATTCTCCGAGGCGGGACATTATACCCAGCCTAAGTGTAAAGACACGTTAACGATACCTTTCATTTGACGTGCAGTGTAAAATTCATCGCTATTACAATAAGGATAACTGTCTCTTAATATTACAGCGTTGAATGTATACTGATTATCAATTGGAAAGTGATCGCTGGGTTACACAATAACGCTCCATTTGGGGATGTTACTGGCGTCCGACCTGGTCTATTTGGGTCTGCAGGTTGTTGATGACCTCGGAGGGGACCTGGTCGCCGAGGATATCGAACAGATTGATCCTCTGGTTGCCGGGAATCGACTCGTAGGCGGCCAATTCGATGCCCTCCTGTACCTGGAGAGCATATGGATTATATTTAAATGATTATGTCAAAACTTAAATTTTAGATAAATCTTATAATTAATTTTTTCTATCCATTGATTTCTCAATCACTCGATTGGTATTTTTCCTTAAACCAACAAATAATTTTGCAATATTTAGAAACAACAATTTAAGTCTAACATAAGAGCATCAGTGCCAATTATGTTACAAATTTCTTTAGCAAATTTTTGGCACTTTATAAATATTTAACATAGGGAAATATTTAATATTCTTACCTTCTGTATCTCAGCATCCTTAGGGATGAGGAATGTGCTCTGAGCCTGTTTGATGGCTTCCTTCGTGAAGGCAGCCCCTTCTCTTTGCGGTGCCGCAACGGCAGCGGCTACCACGACCAGCAGGCAAACCAGAGATGTCTGCATCTTGCTATAAGATACTGGCTCTTCGGACCGGAGGAATGAGATCCTATTAAGAACATCAAATAAAGTTGTACATATGCACTTAATAATGAAATGGTAGTAATGGTAATGAAATGTTATTGCAAAATAAAATGTAGAGACAACAACAATGATAAGACGATAAAGGAAGAATAAAGATAGATGCCTTAAAATATACATTGAATAACTCCAAAATGAAACTAAGCACTACGTAATTTTATCGTCGAAAGTATCAAATATTGCATTCGTAACACGATGGGAGCGAAACATTACATAAACCATACGAGATTAATATCACTCGGAAGCGACCGCTAACACCACTTTTACCACTCTGACACATTCCACGCAAGGTGAGGTAGGTAACAAGTAAATTTCATACACCACTTTGACACATGTTAATTACGATATTGATAAAGTTTTAATAACAATAACTATACTCGAACAAGAATTTTTTTAATTAATCCGTGATATTCCTTTCGAAAAGGACGAAGAGTTTCCCACCTAATCAAATTAAGCCTCTATGGAATTCCTCGACTTGAATTGACGTAATAGTGTTGTTCAAAAATTCACGCGCGAACTAGTGGTGACCAAAGAGGTGTCACAATGGGAATATTCTCACCTGGGTAAGGTAGCGCAGGAGTGCGGCGCGCGCGCTCACGTTCGTCTCATATAGCCCGCCCCTCTCCGCTCCGCCCCCCGCGCTACTTTCACCATGTGCGCCTGCGCAACTCCTGCCCATCAACAGACAAAACGAGGGCCATGACATCGGAACATCTCTAGAAAAAGCTGACGTTAATGCTTTTTTAATCCCATACTTCGTAAGCAGCTCTTCATGCTATTTGGTTTGAGAATTAAAAAACTGTTTGTAAATTAATCAAATTGATTATCAAAAACATTTACAATCTGGGATAATATTGTATAAGTTTGTGGTCTTTTTCTCTTTCAATTGATAATATTTGATAAATCAATAAATATTAGAAGATACCACTGCTGCCGTTTTTCCAAAGTTCATAAATGCTTGTTGCTGTAAATGGTAACAATCCAGGCCCGAAGCCACATACTACATTGTCTGTTTTCAACTAACCAATAATTTAAATTTTCAAATCCTTCAAAAAATTATTAACCGATGACCTGTTTCCGTATTATATCTGAGAAAATAATTATCAACAAAATTTTAAATATCGCATTTGTATTCAATTTTTTTATTTAAAATAACCTTTATATATCTCGTCAATCAAAGTCACAAAGTTAAGAGTGATTGATTTGAGAAAAACCTGATATTCCAAAAACGGTGGATTCTTGATTTAGAATGTTGTGTAACTCGTGCCACTAAACATGTTCCCTTAAAAGAATATTCGAGCTTCATAGTTCGATTATACGATGGTTTCTTCGTATAAGTTGTCCATTTTTAATACTCGCTCCTTCGTCGCTCATTGTAAAATCGCTACCGCCGGGGCCCAACAATATGTGAATTGATTCGCGTATTGGCATAAAGATTTTGAATAAAGAGACTTATGTACCAAGCGTGTTTACGAAATTTATTGGAGTGTTCTCGAGGGGTCATCTGTATTGAGATTCAAGGATGCCAAACTCGTGATCAATTAAGTTCTATTATATCAATATAAAAGTATTACAACTAATCGGAGGGCGATTAATTAATACTACCAATACGTATACAAATACATATTAAACCAGTACTCAGCTACCTGTCTCTCGTATGTTTTTAATGCTTCGAAGTTATCTGTATGAAATAAAGAAGGGAGAAAAAAGGTGTGTCAAGATTTTTGCCAGTTTTTCTCAACACAAAGTCGCCGTGGATTTACGAACGTTTGCCTAAGTTTTTTATACTTGTATAAGCTCAGAATGAATTTAATATCGTATATTCATCTGTCAAGCTATGTAAATTAGTTTAACTTCCGTCAATATAAACACCCAGATGTAAGTTTACATTCGATTTTTTTCTGGGTGCTAAAAAAATTTATGCTATTTACCATTTAATAAAAATATTATTTGTAATTATTATTCTGATTTCGATGTAAAAACACAAATAGCTAATCATATGAATAACACCTTACGATTGCGAACTGTGGCCTTGGAGGTGGCGAATATTATGATGGTACCTGTCATTAAACTACGGAGGTCAGATTATGATATTTATTACACACATCTTTCAAACTAAATCAACTAATAAATTAAAAATAAACATACATATCAATTACCCTATTATTAACACGATCGCAGTTTACTGGTGCCCTTTTTGAAGGAAGATTAGCGAGATGGAATGCGACTAACAATACTTCAAATACATAATCCCGACCTCCCGAGTTTGTGGCGTATTTTTGACCACAGTGACAAAAATATTCAAATTTGATGAAAACACAATGGATTTAAAAATCGAATTCTTAAACATTAAATTGGTTTGAATTTAGAATTTTTAGAAAACAAGTAAATGGCGTTTCCATGTGCAGTGATTTCAGACCCGAGACAGTACCACCGAGTTTAGGTACTTTTGCTGAACCCCAAAATGGTGGCACGTTGAAACCGGTCATTATGAATATCATTAAAACTTATTAATTTGTTTTGAGTTATCATCGGTGATTCCCGGATATTAGCTGCCAATGGCGGTATACTTAACTTGTTTAATAAAGGAAAGATTTCTTACTTTTACTTGATTGATATTGAAGATTTCTTACATTGAACATAATATTGAAATTTGCTATAAAAACTGCTAATAAAGTTATATAATATACGAATTCATACGAGAGGAGCAAAACTTTTATGAGTTACTCGATGACGAAATACAAAATATTAGGTCCTTGGGTATGAATTTGGCGCTTTGTCGTACTGGCCACTTTAATCACAAATTTATTTCTGTTTTGTTAGGCGGCATTCATTTTTTTTTTCTTCTGTTTGTCCTATTTATGTCACCCAGTATAAAAAATGGAAAACTTGAAATATTGTGTTATTTACGAGTACGAGTTCCACCGTGGTACCAGTACTGCGGAAACGGCTCGACGAAGGGTTAAGGATGTGTATGGCGGTTATATCGCAAAAGAAAACATAGTGCGTTATTGGTTTCAACTATTTCGTTCTGGAAATTTTGACCTGCAAAACAAGCCCCGTGGACAGCCGGAGACCCAAGTTAATAATGAAGAATTGAAGGCCATTGTGGAAGCGGATCCATCGCAAACCACGTCCGAGTTCTGGCTGTTAATCTGACTGTTAATCCACTTGAAGCAAATTGGAAAGCTTAAAAAGCTTGAAAGGTGAGTACAACGCAAGAAGCAAACCGCCAAACGCGTTTCGAGTGCAGCGTTACATTACTTAACTTGCACAATAATGAAGGGTTTTTAAATCAAGTTATTACCTGTGATGAAAAGTGGATTCTCTACGATAATTAGCAGCGCTCATCGCAATGGTTGGACCCTGGTATGCCAGCCAAATCTATTACGGCAGACGTCTATAGTCAGTATTTGCAAACCGTGCTGCAAAAACTAGCTATTAAACAACCGAGGCTGGTCAATCGCTCTACGCCACTGCAACTTCACGACAACGCTAGACCACACACTGCACAACAGATGGCTACCAAATCAGAAGAGCTTCAATTGGAAAGTCTAAGACATCCATCGCACTACTTCAGGACTCCATTATGGCAGATATTGTTTTTTTTATTATTTACAATGGTTCACTGCGAAGTTGAGGGTGTGTAAGTTTTCAACACCTTCACAAGATCCTTATTGAACTTCAGTTGAAGTTTCTAGAATTATTTTTATTTTTTTATTGATATTTTTTGAAGACCGTTTTATTTTAATTTTTCTCAGAGTACAGGCCGAATGGATTTTTAAGCATTTTTCATTAGAAATATTTTTCATTATAGCATTGTGAAGCAAAATTTATCAAATATAATATTTTCTATTATCTTATAAACGTGGCTCTGTAATTAAGTCATATTAAACGGTTGTGTCTCTTCTAGATGGAAACGTTAATAAACGGATTCCGTTATATTTATTTTCATTGATTCTTTGATGTCAAAAAAAGTTGCTGAATATAAAATTAACATAAACAACGACATTCCTTTTGAGAGAAGTAATCTAATTATCAACAAATAATAATAATTATTAGACGTTGATATGTATATGAGGTTTTGAATTCTATGCAGAGTTGCATATAGTTAATTTATGTTACAATAAAAAATAAAAGAGATACACATCGAAATTATTTTAGTGGTAGTTTCAGGTCATAGAAAGTAACATTGGTGCCGTTGGTAATGGTAGACAGGGGGCTGTCACTAAAGCTCAGTGCTAGTGCGGAGAAAGCTAATTTAAAAAATAAAATCTTGTATAAATATCGGTGTCCTCGGTATTTGTGTTTCGTGTTAGTGACTAAAAAACTTGAGGGAGCAAGAGGTCGATGTTGCTTCACACGGTGAAACAGCACGGTATACGTTCTAGTTTGGTTTGAGGTAAAAACACAAATAATAAAAAAATAACATAATACATATGTGCTTTTTTGAAAATGTATAAATTAATTACATTTTAAGACTTAGAATTTATATTTTTCCACATAAGTAGTATATTCTATATTAAGATATAACAGAAATTGAATTATCGTACTTATAAAGATGGCTTGCGATTTTTATGAAGCAGAGTATATAAGTATATTTTCTTTCATATAAATAATGAAATCAGTGTTGATATCAACTAGCACTAACATAAATAAATGAAAGATAAAGGAGATATAGTTTTTTAAGTCTCCTATTAAATACAAACGAAACGAGCGAGTGTATCTTACATTATATTAATCTTAAAGCGGCCAGTTAGTAGAACCATGTATAATCTTTATACGAGTATTATAATAAAACGACGCGTGTTTGTATGTTTATTAGATTTATTTACAAAAGCTTAGGAAAGTGAAAATCACGAAACTTTGAAAAGCAATGGAAGATTGTAATAAAGGTTATATTATCCTGCGCTCATAACAAACTAAGAGTCATTTTATTATTTAATTAGTATAGAAAAATATAGGAAATTTAAACCTTGCCTTGTTAAAGATTAAGAGAATAGTCATTATCATCATGCAGGGGCTCAGGCCTTCCTTATGACTTCAAATTTTAATGAAGTCACTTTTCAATCTTGACGCTCTGTATGAAATAAAACAGGGAGAAAAAAGCAGCCCTTGCCGAGTTACTTGCCGGTTCTTCTCGGTACAAGGTCTCCCGCCGTAGATTCACGAACCGGTGGCGTAGCTCTCGACTTTCACAAGTGCTTGTAACAGCCTAGACTGAATAAATAATTTTGATTTGATTTATGAATGGTAAGGAGCCTTCCATGACCCTCCGCGCTGGCTCAATGCTGATTGGAGGGTATTAACTACTGCAAATGCAGCTGAGACCAACAGCTTAGCTTGCCTTGCGAGGCACGGAGTAGCTTGAGATTAAAAAAAAATGGTCACCCATCCCGTGACTGACTCTTGTAAAAGTTGCTTAACTACAACGATCGCGGGCCCCGGTGCTTATGCACTACGCCACCGATCGAACTACTTAAAGTACATCTTAGTAATATAAAAAAATTACGAACGGTACATACGTACAGCAATTTTACTCAGTTGTCTTTGACATGTTGCACAACAGTCGTCAATTAGCCTAAGCGATACTATCACGACGTATTGTTGTATATGTTGTAACTGATGACATACACCATGATAGATATCGCTCGTGCTAGTAGAGTAAGTTTCTAGAAA